GATTTTATCCTCCTATTCAGAAAGGAGGGGATAGCATGCATCTCCATCCATCTTCTGTGTGTGAAAGCCCCCACTCTTTGAACAAAGCATATTCGGCCAATCGGACCCATAATTTAGAGAGGTCTTCAAAAAGGGCCTTGAACACCCATTTTGCCAGAAGGGCCACATTTTGCGCCTGAGGATCCAGTAGCCCCAAGCCCCCTTCATCCCTCGGGAGGCAGACGACTTCCCAGGCTACCTTAGTAATGAAGCCCTGATCCTCTTCTCCGGTCTGTTTCCATAAGTATCTTGCTGATGTTTTCCTGATCACTGAGTGAGCCTGGTTGCTAAGCAAGCAGATGGAAAAGGGGAACCACAAAATAGAAAAGACCGAAGAAGAGAGCACTTGTGCTCGCCCAAACCGTGAGAGCTTGTAGTTTTTTACCCAGCCTGTATCCTTGCTGTCACCTTGTCGGCCAATATCTGATTTTGCACATGGGAGCAGTCCGAGAGAGAGACTTGGACTCCCAGGAATCTTTCTGAATTATTGGTCAGTACCTCCCGAAGGCCCCAGTGTACTTTGAAGTTGAACTGAGGTGGCAGAAAGTATACAGATTTCGTCCAATTGATTGAAGCCTCCGACAATACACAATACTCATTTATTACTACTCTGAGTTCTGTTAATAACTTGGTAGAGTTCTCACAGGCGACTGTCAAGTCGTCTGCAAGGGCTCGTCCTTTCCAGTGTAGTACGGGGTTCGGTTGAAGACCTTTTATATTAGGATTATGGCAAATATTATCTAGAAAACTTCAAGTTGTAGGACAAACAACAAGGGGGTCAAGGGGCACCCTTGCCTCAGGGAGCGGGTTAGTGGGAATTCATCCGACAAGTAGCCGGTTACCATGACCATTGAAGTGGCATTTGCATACATGGCGTGAACCCATGTAGCAAAACCCCTCCCGAAACCCATTTTGGCAACTGTGGTGGAAACAAAAACCCATCCCACTTTGTCATATGCTTTCTCCATGTCCAGCAGTAGAACAGCCACTTCTCTTTTCTCGGCACTTATTATCTCTAATGCTTGTACCGTAGTAACAATATTTTCAAAAATAGACCTCCCTTTCACGAAGGCCGCTTGCTCCCAGCCTATTAGATTAGGCAGGACCAAGGTCGGTCTTATCGCAAGAGCTTTAGCCAGAATTTTATATGCCACGTTCAAGATCGATATGGAGCGATGGTTTCTCACTTCTCTCTTCTCTCCTTTTTTGTAGAGGAGAGAGATTACCCCCTTGACAAGGTTGGCTCGGAGGGCGCCTGTTACCAGGGCTCTGTTATATATCTGACAAAGGAAAGGCCCGAAGCCATCCCAACAGTTGAGGAACAGTTCAACAGGCAGTCTGTCTAAGCCTGGGCATTTGCCAGGGCCGTTTGCTTGACTACCCTGTGCAATTCACTTACCGTAAGTGGGGCCTCTAGCAAGGTCCTTGCGTTGGCATCAATGCAGACCTGGGTTCGATCCCAGAAGCTAGTTCCTTCCACAAGATCTAAGTGGAAATTTCAAAGGGTCTTCTTGTGGGAACTATGTCCCGAAAGTACTCTAAGGCAAATGCGCACATGTTCTCGGTATCCGATGATATCCTTGCCTCAAACTCAAAGGGGTGAGAGAGTTCTTTTTATCAAAGGTTTAGATTGTTTGAGGATTAGCGACCGAAAGGTTAGCTTCGTCATTCGACCATACCCTACAATTCCTCGTAACCTGAGTCATTCTAGCCATACCATCTGTTTTTATAATTCCAGTGCTTCTAGTCTAATCAGGGCCTCCTTCCGTTTCTCGGACCAATAATAGTCTAAAAATGGGTCTTGGCCCATCTCCAATTCGGCCAGCAACACTTCATTTCTGCATTTTTGTTCTTTCCATTCTCGCTTTGCAGCTTTTATTCACGAGAATACGATCAGGGTCTCTCTTACAATCCCCAACCCAACTTCCGCCCACTGTTCCTCAGAGCTGAACAGAGTTTTGGCCTCTTGCCACTTAGTCATCTGAGTGCTGACCCAGTTCGTCACCCCTTTGTCCTTTAAATGTGACACATTTAGTCTGAAGGGGGGCACTGTTTTCTAAATCAGGTCTCTTGCTATTATGTCTGTCAGGACTGGGTAATGCTCTGAAATAGGTGAGACCCTGAACTCTGCAAAAATGCAGCGGTCCCAAAGTCCCCTTTCAGAGCTATCAGATCAAGCCTACGACAGGGTTGTGGTGCATTTTTCGACGGGCGGGGTCCATACCACGTGAAACCATGATCATCTGGATGCATCATCCTGTAGACGTCAATTAATGTCTGTGTTTCCAGAAAGGCTGTCAACAGCGTACTGTCTGCTCTGAGAGGCGAGGGGTTTGGGGAATCCAACCCTGGACTTAGGGTGGTATTCCAGTCCCCCAAAACTGCCAAATTTTCCATATCTGGAAGAAAGGACGGTAACTGAGACAGAAAGGTCAGTCTATCCTTGTAGATTGCAGGGACGTATGGTCATCACCGCCCACTCTTCGGTTCCTATCTCCATCTTTACCCACGCCCATCGACCCCCTGTGTCTGCGTACTGGTCGATGATCGTGCATTTTCGGTCTTTGTGAATCAAGAGAGCAACTCCCCCTTTTGTCCCGTTGGCAGGAGACCAGATATGCGGGCCCGGCCACCAGCCCCGAATCTCGTATAGTTTGACCGAGTCTAACTTAGTTTCTTGTAACCCAATAATGTGNCTCGTATAGTTTGACCGAGTCTAACTTAGTTTCTTGTAACCCAATAATGTGAGGGTTCAACGAATGCAGTGTAGACAGCAGTCTTGAACGTTTTTCTCTAATTGATGTAGCACATAAATTAATCATTTACATTCCATGCCAGGATACAAATTCTATGCGGCAGAACCAACATCGTGGTTCAGACCGCCCTGATTTTGGATGCGGGATTGGTACAGAGGGATGGACTCCATTATCTCTGAGTCCTACTCCTTACCCGGCGAGGCAAGTGGGAGGCCACCAGTTGCCACATGAGCGTGGAAGGCTTCTTAAGAGAGGTAAGTACATGCATCTAGTCCTGTCAACCAGCCTGCGATCTCCGTTCCAGAGAGTTGGGAGGTTAACTGAATTGTGGATAAGGTTTCCTTCCCTTGAGTAACTAGGTCCTGCAAGGGGAGCCAGAAGACTCCCGTTGAGGACCAGTTAGCAAAGGAGGCCGATAATAGCCATAAAACAGATATGCAGTAGGGCTTTCCTGCCATCCGGCAGGGTTCTTGGGCTCGGGCAAAGTGGCAAAGGAACCCAAATAATGCAGTACTTGTTTGTTCACTGACCCAACTATCTCCAGTTCCGAGGGCGCTGATGCCACTTCAGGCGACGGGATTAACAATGTTTCGTCCTTATTTAGTTTAGTAAGTACCATCGTTCCCTGCAATATGAACAAGAGTTGTTGAAATCAATTGATCCAAGTTTGCTTTCTGCTATTGCACAACAAAAAACAATCACTGAACAAATCGATAGTCAACTGGCTAACTTTT